TGTACTGACGCGTTTTTTGAAAGAAGCCAGAACTCTCAATAATTTGTGAGTTTCTGCAAAATAAGACGATAGCTTCACACACACGTTAGGAAGAGAATGTATAAAGAATTATTAACGAAGATATTTTAATTTAAAAGATCATTAAAATATATATTTTTCAGGAATGTTTTATAGGGAAACGAAGAAAGTGAATAACGTTAAACTTTGCATGTTTTCTTCACTTTATTTTAAAAATTTATTTTTATTTTTTAAGTAACAAAAATGCTCTTTTTTCTGTTATATCCTGGTCACTATAAATGATAGACGATGTAAATAATTCTAGCTGTTTTAGGTATCTGAAACGCAAAAAGCTAAAATTTTCTTATTCTGCAGGAGAAGTGTGGCTATCGTCTGAACTAGAACTAAATCAATATTTCCATTCTGAGCGGCTTTTTTATTTAAAATATTATAACTTTTTTCAAAATTTTATTAATATTTTATTAAAAGAAAATGTTTATTCTAGTTCAGACGATAACCCATATCACTTATTCTGAATAAGAAAATTTTTGGTTTTTACGTTTCTGATACCTGTCGATTTAAGCTGTTTTAACTGTTATTCTATTTACTGGCGAAATAAATTTATTATTCTGATTTTTAATAATATAAGAGAAATAAGACCGTTTTATGTGACCGTTATACAATCAATCAATATTAAATAAGCCGTGTACGATCCGGGCTTGGATCTTAATAGCCTAATAATATTTTTTATGTATAATTACACGTATATTTTTTCCAATCTTAATAAATTGCGCGCTGACTAACTTGTCAGACTTACAACACAGCTCCTGTTGGAGTAGTAAATTCTTTACTATTATTTAAATCGATTTAATTAGAGGGGTGTGAGGGGATTTTATTAATCCAATAGGAGCTGTGTTGTAAGTCTGACAAGTTAATCGGCGCGTATTATAGTTGATTAAAGTTGGAAAAATATGTAAATATAGTATATAAAAAATATTATTAGGCTACTATAAAATCTAAGCTCAGATCGTAAATGGTTTATTTAATATTAATTAATAATATTTTTGATGAAAAAGCCGCCTAGAATCTAGAATGGAAATATTGGTTTAGTTCTAGTTCAGACTATAGCCACATATACTTCTTCTGAATAAGAAAATTTTAGCTTTTTGCGTTTCAGATACCTAGAACAGCTAGAATTATTTACACCGTCTGTCATTTATGGTGACCAGGATATAACAGAAAAGAAGAGCATTTTTGTTACTTAAAAAATAAAAATAAATTTTTAAAATAAGGTAAAGAGAGAACATGCAAAGTTTAACGTTATTCACTTTCTTCGTTTCCCTATAAAAAGTTCCTGAAAAATATATATTTTAAAGATCTTTTAAATCAGAATACCTCCGTTAATAATTCTTTACATTCTCTTCCTGACAGAAGAGATTTTACCACTTCTCAATATAAATATAAATTTATCTTGTTATCGTTTTATTCGATTACTCCGACGTTTTTATATTTGTGATTTAATTAGATTATTGTTTACTTTGTTTATATTATTAGATGATTGTTTAATGTTTTAGTCTAGACTAATGTTTAATGTTTTAGTATGTAAACTTGAACATTAATTATCATGTTTTTTTATATTTATCTTCTTCTATCGTAGTAATCCGTTCCAAAGAAGACTAAGTACAGTCGAAACGTTGAGCATGTGTATTGTTTATTTAAGAAATTGTTTTTATTTTAATTCAATATCTCTCTGTTGTTGCTCGTGGCCACTTATAAACATTAATAGCTAATATAAATTTAATAAGAGTAAAAAGAACATTATGAACTACTTTTTTTCTCGATATAGTTAATATGTAATTATTGTTATGCATTTAAATATTAAATTTAAATACTATTATGCTAAAGTAAAGGTTTTTAATGTAAGCCTTTTTTTGATATAAGAGCAAATTCGCCAGAACGGGGATTTCTATACATTACATTTACGAATTTTAGTTTTTATGTTTATAAATATTTTTTTAATTAATTATAATTTCAATTTTTATATTTATAAATTTCAAATATATATATATATATATACATATATTTATTTATTTATTTATTTATTTATAAATATAAAAATTAAAATTTGTAAATATAAACGTAAATGTAACGTATAGCGCATCGTCGATTTGCCAACGCGAGACTCGGCATTCGGCGAGACGCGAGGAGCGATATCCGAAATGCATGGCATCGTGGCATAGCCGGCGGCGCCGGCGCGTGCTAAGCAGCTACGTCACAGCTCAAGCAAGAAGGAGACAGCAGATCGTATGTCTGCCCTTCTCTCCCCGCTCGTAGCTTGCCGAGTGCCGAGTCAGCCGACTGGCATATCCCCTCCATCTGAGTAGTTCGGACACGAACCATAGCACGGACACGAACCATGTGTGTACCGTTACCGAGCGTAACGACGTAGTTGACGTCCACTTTCTCAGGCGGCGCGTCAGTATACGTCCGCTGGAACGGAATGATCCCGATGGCCGCTCTCAGATTTCTCTCTGGTTAAGTAGAGAACGTCAAGATCTGATGGGCAACGTTATTTAAATCAAGTTATTTAATCTTTTTTCTTTATGATCCATTATTATTTACTTTTAAAATGCTCAATAGACAAGTAGGACGTACTCATTTATGATTGGTATTGGAAAAATGGAAACGGAACAAAAATTTGCCAGATCGAGTAAAACTGCGCGGCTAGACGAGTTTCAGACTTTTGCGCACGGAAGTAGTTGTCAACCATATCATTACTCCGTGCGTCTGAGTTGAGCACAACTGCCACCGGAGAACGTCCTTAAATGCCCATACAGCACAAAATGTTTTTTAAATATTTTTAAAATATTTTTTAGGAAGATTAAAATATTATAAAATAATTTATAAAAATAGTTTTATAATGTTTCTATGTCCGTCAGATCATGTCAGAAAAATATTTTCAAAAATATTTTTAAAAAATTGCAAATAAATATATTCAATAATATTTGTAAAATCTTTTAGAAATATTGTTTTAAAAAATAAAATATGTTCATAATAATTTTAAAAACTTAATGTCTTAAGTTGCTAATACGGTCATTTCATTGGCTGGACGGAGTCTTAAGACTGCTTTTGACCAGACTTAAGATAATCTTAGATATAATATATAAATAAATAATATGCATAAATAATATGCTACATATATAAATAAATAAATAATTGTCATATCTCCATCACTCGAGTGACCGGTGTGATGGATTGTACAACTGCGAGTGATAGACGCTTTCGCCATGGAGCCTTATATACAGTCTCTGGTTGAATTTGAAGTACGAGTTTAGCAGCCGCCTAGCGGTGAAAACGCTTACCACATTCGTTGTAAATAATTCATATAGTATATTAAATTTATCAGCTATATTGCATTCTTCTATGTCCTCTAATATTTCAAAATCTACATTATCGATGTTCTCTGAACCCCTTTGCTTATCCTTAATTAATTCTTTTAAAGTTTTCCACATTTTTGTAGGATCACTCCTATTATTATCTATAATATTTCTTCTTTTTTTTCCTGATAAGTTTAACTACTGCATTTCTTTCATTACCGTTAGTAATTTTTTTGCTTATTTTCTAGGTAATTCATTTAGGCGCATTCCACCTCCAGCGCCTCTAGCCATGGCCAGCGCCTCCAGCAATATAGGAACTAAAAAAAAAAAGCAAGACAACCAAGATGAAAGGTCAGCCCTGAAAACGGTGACCAATGATAAGGGTGAGTAGAAGCTCATTGTAAATCCAATTGAAAGAAAAAGGGCTAAATAAGAGCAAATTCGCTGTTACTAATGATTGAATAAATCTCTCGCATCAAGAACAGCGAATTGGCTCTTATTTAGCTCTGTTTCTTTCAATTATATAACGTTAAACAAACAAATAAATGTATTAAACATTTGGCAGGTATACTAGAGAGAAGGACCAGTCCCAGGCTGAAAGCCAGGCTGGACAAAGAGCACAAAGAGGTAAAGGAATCTTTATTTAAAAAACAGATTTTCCATTTTTTATTACAATTTTCTTATTGTTTTATTTCAGGAAGCTAATAAAAAGGAACCAGAAAAAATAAAGGATACAAACCTTATAAATCACACTCTCCCGAGCGGAAGGACAAAGCTGTACACGACATTTTTCAAAATAATTTGTCAGTGAAAGAAGCATCAGCAAAGTATAAAGTCGCAGTTTCCACTCTATATAAAAAAATACAAAAATTAAAAAATAAAGAAAAAAACAAAAGAAAGGCGAATAGTGTGAAAGGCTCATATGTGTGTGTGTGTGTGTACGGAATATATATTTTATAAGAGATAAATGTTTGAGATATTTATGAGAAGAGTTTTGTCGATTAACTGTCAAAAATTAATATTTAAAAAATGGGGTGCTAACGCAAAAAGATTCTCAACCAAGCGAATCAGAGGGAAGCGCCGACGATCAACAGCCGACAAAGAGCCCCGACTCGTCAAAAAGACTGATCTTAAGCAAAATACTCAAGGTCAGCCTGCCGAGGAGAATGGAATCGCAGGTTAAACCGGGGATGCTGAAAAAAAGCTCAAAAGGCAGAGGATACATTTCAATTAAGCAGTAAATCGAATTCGGATACATCTTTTTCTTCGAAACGACAGAGAAAAACACCTTCTCGATTTCATAATATTGATGATGATGCATCTTCATCTTCTGATGAAGAAACCACACACCACAGAAAGAACTCACACAGCCAAAAAACCGAACTCAGAAGAAAACTACGGACTCAAAAAATATTCCTACACGTCCCGTTCTTTTACCTTTTTGAAGAAGTGAAATTTGAAATAGCCAACTGCGTCAATTTCCACGTTCTCAGACGTGACGGCTGTCTCGTACGTGGTCCTGAGTGGTATGGGCCTGGATCGCATAACATTGATTGCATAACAAGAACTGCCCAGATCGTTTGACTTCACTGTGCGTGGAAGGGTGGCTACCAGACGTGCCGGTGGCGAGGGGAGATGAAAATTAAAACAAAATCAGCAAGAGATTAAAAGAGGAATAGATGCTTTACTGGCATCAAATGACAATATAAATATAAATAAATTCAGTCGTCTACTTTCAATTATTCTATAAAATTTTTCAACGATATTGATAAATCTTTTGCGTTGAAACCAATCTGATCCTTTTTTCAGGATCCCCGCACCTTTCAATATTGGTTCAATGGAAAGTTGATAGTGCCATTGACCAAGTGGTGTGGCACCGGCAATGTGGCTGAATCGTACGATGATTTAGGCTCGGCGCAGGCCATAGATGCGTGCTGTCGCGCGCATAATTTTTGTAATTTGACAATTGAGCCAGAGCACTGCAGCTTAATAAATGAAAAACATAAGCAGTGCAACAGTATGTCATATACGATGTCGCACTGTACATACAGCTGCGACAGTAATTTTAAAAACTGTTTGGACAATATCGATACCATATAAGCGAAGGCAGGAGGTACAGTGATTAAGGGTATCTTCTTTAATGCACTCAAGACGCAATGCTTCAATGGAATGCGAATGTCCCCGCAATGGAAAAGGTATTTTATTTATATAAAAATAAAACGCATTATGTATTTTTTTTAATAAAACGCATTATGTTGCGTATATATATATATTATATATAAGCCCGATGAACTCAAACGGGCATTTATGCCCGTATTGGAGATACTTGAAAACTACATTAAAGAAAAGAAAAAATTATCAAGTTCGATAAAAGAGAAATACATCGAAATGAAAAGTGCAATATATAGCGATCCATGAAATTATGTAAATAACTCATGGATAATATTCGACAGTGTGTGCCTCAGAAGCAAAAGTCTAAAACAAATGTGGTGATACAATGTAAAACAAATGAGCAAAAGAAAAATTTTGAGAAAATAATAGACGAAATAATGCGGAAACTGCGGCACTGCTGCGGCAGTAATACCATAAAACAGAAACAGTTTCAGAATGGTTTCATAAAAGAACCATTTGTATTTGTAACATGTACTGACTGTGGTAGGCATATCCACCTCCCTCTTGCAGGTGCTACAGTACTAATTGTTACACCAACCTTAAATGCAAGTGTGTAAAACAAGGTATAAAATGCACATACCCTTGCAAGTGCGTCGAGAATGGGAAACAGTGTTGTAATGTAAGTATAGATATTTAATTAACGTATAGATATTTAATTAACGTATAAATATTTAATTAATTTATTTTTTTTTTTTTTTTTCATATCAAATAGCCAGCATCGACCGCATCAGCTACAACTAACGAGCCTCCGGTAGAAATGGGAGCCATCCGAAAAAATAAAGATTTAGCAAAACGGTTGCAAGAATCAGCATTGACCGCATCAGCAACATCCTCGGCTTTTGCCAGTCAATCTATAAACGAGCCCTCGACATCTGGACAAATGACAAATGACATTTTGACTAACGAGCCGCGGACCCTTAGTTTACAAAAATCAGAGGAATCGCGTAATGCGTTGCAGAAAGAAGCGAGAGAACTGAAAATTTTAAATACTACTTTAAATACTACTTTAAATACTACTTTAAATACTA